CCCCCCCCCGCCCACCCTCTCCGGCCTCGCGGCCTCCTCTTTTGGCCCTCTCCACACGGTTAGGTGGCGCGCTCTTTAAGTATTTGCAAGCTCTTGGAATTTAGCGAGCAGTGCCGACACTGCGTCTGAACCAATTTCATATGAATAAAATTTGCGGAAAAAACCAGGTTTTCTGGGAAACAAGGGGTATGCCTTTTGGAAAATGTCTCAAATATCTCATAAAAAAATTTTCGTTCCAAAATTTTAATTTTTAGACATTGCTGCGGGCTGATTGTTGAAATTGATGGATAAAGCGATAGACAAAGATGACACAAGGAGTATGGAACCTAGGAACCTATTGGTTGAGGTGGTTCTTATGGACTTAAAGGGTAAGTGATGGACGAACAATCGGGTCTGTCGTGGATTGCCATTAGTTAGTCTATTACCTACGTCTTTTGTCCATTGCAACCACCCGCTCCCACCAATAGGCTCCCTCCATATACTTTTTGTCTTCATGGTCTATCACATTGCCTATCAATTACAATAATCAGCCCGTAGGATCCTTGTCGAAATAATACAGAGTAAGCAAGTCAAATGGACTGCCAGAATCAGCATTTTTTCTCCTAATTTAATAACTTGCCAATACTGAAGTTTTTAGGAACGATAATGAATAGTTTTCCACTAAAAGAATGTATTATGAAAATAGGTCTGCATTGCCGCAAACTTAGGTACGTAGTTTGATAATATTAACATCGATACATCAATTGTATCGTGACACCGCTTGGCGAAATCTTGGTTCGTGTTATTTTTGCGTACTCACCTCATTTTTTAAACCCTAAAAAATGTAACATTCTCGTTTTTTTCAACACATCAAATCAAATAATTTGTGAAAAAGTGTCGAAACCACACGCTAGTCGGTTTCAACCTGAGCTCCATCTATTATTTCAGAAATAGCGTAATGCGTAATAAATAGAATCATTTCGACAAAACGCCGCTTGTTTGTTTGTTCCTGCCTGGCTCACTTTTTCTTCTTTCTTCTCAATGGAGTCCCGAAGAAGTCAGGTTACGCTCACAATTAAAAATAAAACAAAGAGGGAAGCTCCGCGCGGCCGTAATCCGAAATAACGAGTCCTCTCCGCGAGACGTTGAAGTTGTCAAAGCCGCCGGGAAAACGGGAGTAAACCAGTAAAAATCCACATCAATCCCGACGCTTGGTCCCCGGGTTTAATTTTTCAAAAATAAAGCGACATAAATAAAGGCTACGACAAGTCGAATAAAACTGTACATATTTTAGCGCGGCGGAATTGGAGAGAGCGATTAGTCTCGGATCTTTTGTCTTTGCCCCGCGGCAGATGTGGATTAGCCACGCTAACAACCACTCGGTAACAACCACTTAACTCCAACGAAAAATCCCCGGATATCTGCTGTTTCTGACTCGTATTGCTCCCCGCACGACTGTGTCGCACGCTCGGATGGGGGTGGAGAGGGGGAGGGGGCGTGCCACCCACCCCGTACCCCGCACCTGGCTCCGCCGTGCCCGTGAATCNCCCCCCCCCCCCCCAAAAAAAAAGAGAAGTGAAAAAAAATTAGTCGTAAAATTTCAGTTAAGCGCGATAATTGATATTTTATTAACAGAGTTTTTTGTTGTTGTTCCTGATTTTTCGGAGGAGACTTCTCGGTTATCACTCGCGGCGTCACGCGTATGCATTCGGGTGCGTGCTAGCGGCCCTTATTGGGGGGATGCTCGGAGTGTTTATTCATGCCACGTACTTTCATCAGAATAAATGAAAAATCTGAACTAGCGCGCATTCCGGCGAACAAGAGGAAGAGGGCACAGTGTGGTTTGCTTCAGAGAGTTACCACAAAACCCTAATTGAATAAAAAATTTACGAAGTTTGCAGAAACTGCAGTGCGCTGATTGACACTATAGATTGACGGTATCATTAGCCGATCTAATTAAATTTGCGAGATAAAATGTCTCTACTTTTAATTTCTTGTACAAAAATAAGGACAATAAATATGGATTTAAAAGTGTCGGGATGAAAGTATAAGGGTAAAACTAAATCTGAAGTTTCTATGGGTTTTTTTTTCCTTTTTTCCTTCCTTTGAAAAATACCTACGTTCCTACGTTACAACTTTCATCTCATAAAATATCAAAGAGTTGTACAATTGATAAATCAGAAAGCAATTCTCAGCAAAAAATTAAAAGCAGCTCATACAATAACGCACCGAAGTTTCCATTCTTGGCAGTGGATTTATCTGGACGTTGCTTATAACATGCTTTCGTGTGGAGCAAAGTAAAGTGCATTCGAAATAAAGCATAACTGATTCGGTCAAAATACGGCGGCTTTTATTGAGATAGCAATTTATGCGCGTACTTTGCTTGAGCACGACTAACTGCAATCAGTCAGTCATTGCTATTAAGGAAATCGAAGCGCCTGCAATTTCTGTACATGCAACACAGACATCCTCTGAACACGAATAGTTGCGTCTTAAAGTCGCTCCTAACAAAATCATAGCACATCGAGTTTTTCCTTTTGTGATGACAGTTTACGCTATGACATTGCACTGTCTGTGAGTCTGTGATGACATGACCCTCCTTACAAATGAATAAGTGAGCAAAGTGTTCATTTAGAGGCATTAGACATCAATTAAAATGTGATAAAGTAGCGGCTAGTTTTTACGGATTTCTCTCGTCTGAATCTAATGGTATTTTCCATTTAACATCCGTTTAAATTTTTCGTTAAAATCTGGAAAGGAATGCATGTATGTATTAAACTCTTACCTACTAATCATATCTTCGCATGCGACGGTGTTTACCAAGCACTTCTATTATTTTTGAACGCGTTATCGGCAAAAACGTGTAGCATTTATATTCGCGGAAACTTTGTGAAGATATATGCAAGGCGAAATCGTGGGAAGAATGTTATGCTTGGTAAACGCAATTTTGTTTGTTAAACGCTTAAAGTTGCTAAAATCCTATCTTATTCATAAAATAATTTACCAGACGCCTTGCTGACCTTTCACTCCTCGAGTTATTGGCGTGATCGAACATTGATGGATATTTTTGCAGAAAATTAATCTTCGATCGAGTGTGATTATCATTCATTTCTCAGCCGATACACTGGAAAAAAAACACATTGGATCTAGAGCCCAGACTCTTAAAAACATCGACAAGAAAAAATACTCTTGATTCAATCGGATTTTTGCTTAAATCAAGAACCAAGCCTCTTAATTTGAGCGGATTTCCTTTTGATTTAAGCTTAAAGCTGATTGAATCAAGAGAATTTTTTCTTGTCAATGTTTTCAAGAGTCTGGACTATAGATTCAATGTGTTTTTTTTTTCAGTGTAATGAGCGTTCCTCTGGGTCGGGTTTGTTTATATCGGGCCAACTTTGGAGCTCCATGATAGCCTAACCCTGATGAACCAATCAGAGGGCGGCACAGAGATGGCAATACTCTCCCGTAACCAGGCACTCTCGTTCAAGTTTCGCGGACCGGGTTTCGCAGGTCATCGTGCGGGAAGAGTCGACGGGCGACCTTCGCCCCGACTCCGGTCGTAAAAAGAGAGGAAAAGAGGCTCTTTGAGCTGACGCAGGTCTCCGCCGACGGCCCACGTCGACGTGGCAGAGCTGGAGTGTCTCTCGCTCACGTCGTTCACAAATCCACTCGATTCGCTGCCCGTAATGCTTCATTTATTTCGCTTGCACTCTCACTTCTCCAACCCTCTCTCCCTCCTTCGTGCCCCGGCTCGAACCTCTGGAGCGTTGCACGCAGCGTAGAACAGAAAAATACGCCGCCGTCTTGAGCAAGAGCGTCCTAAGAGCCTTCAGACGTCGCCAAACTTCCTTCAATAAAACACACATTTTGCGGAGAAATTGTGAATATTTTATCGCCAACTTTGCACAAAATTTAATGCGTAATATAATCTAAATGACCTGAAAAGTTCAAGGAAAAATGTTCATAACTTTTCTCAAAAATAAATATTTTATCGGGGGGAAGTTGGCAACGTTGGAGTGCTCATACGGCGTTCTTCCTCAGCGCGGCAGCGAGCTCGAGCCGCCCGGAAACGCGAGGTAGATGAATCGGTAGATGTTGAAACCTGCAGAGTCTATTTTCTGCTGAGCCCCGAGTCCCGTAAGACTTCGTGCCTTACAGGGCTCACCGAACAACGAACTTACGCGGTTTTAACAACTATTGATTCAGATACCACCATCGACGAAGAACGTAATGTTTCCGACGTTGGGAACACGTCGGAGGCCGCCATGAGGATTGGACCGTGTTCTCGAGTTCCCACGATGCGGTGCGCACTCCCTTGGAGGGACGTGTAAGATGTGGTTCTACAGTTTTCCTCAATCATCTGCGTTGAGGGTGGCACTACGCACACTGAGAAAAAAAGTTCGGTAAATCCGAACTAGTTTGGATCATATGGAACCACGATTTTGTTCGGTACACACAACCGAATTATTCGGTCTGTTCAACCGAATTGTTCAGTTTGTGCAACCGAACCATAATAAATTCTTACGGTTCGGTTCAGTGGACCGAAAAGTTCGGCTGAGCAGACCAAATAATTCGGTCGTGTGTACCGAACAAAATCTTAGTTCCATATGAACCAAACTAGTTCGGATTTACCGAACTTTTTTTCTCAGTGCACTACTCTAGATTGTCATTACGCATGAAATAACTAAGTTTTTTTTGCACTTCAGTACAGAACAGCATACCGTCGGTAGGGGTACCTACACCACGTGATTTTTCGACTACTGGCACGTGATAATCTCCGAATGTCTCTCCAATCTACAAATCAAAGCGTGACCTAATATAAGTATCTCAATTTCCTTGAAGTGGTCTTACAGAATTTGTCCAGGGTTGGGCAGCGTCAGCGTGGCAGCCAAGAGGGGCTCTTAAATGTTGATGAATGATTTTTATTTAAACAAGTGGTAGAATTTTGCAGAACTATAGATATGCTTTCTGGCCAATTTTCAATGTCTTTGGTTGTTTCTGATTGCAGACAAGGTGAGCGATGGTTCTGACATTGAATCCGAGCCTGGGATCCCGTTGAAGAGGAAGCAAAGGCGGAGTCGAACTACGTTCACAGCTCAGCAGCTGGACGAACTGGAGAGGGCCTTTGAAAGAACCCAATATCCAGATATTTACACTAGGGAAGAACTAGCGCAACGCACCAAACTCACGGAAGCCAGGATACAAGTAAGTCATTGTTGATATAAAAAAAAAAAAAAATTCATTGCGTGAATAAAATGAAGATCATTTATATTTTGTTGGGAGTCTCTGATTATTGTCACAATGAGGCTCCCCTACAAAGGGTAGATTTCGAGAGAACACGGGGCTTTTAATTCTTATGATGAAGAAATTGAGATCTTGCAATGAGTAAAATTGCCGTTGAAATTCATCGATGGTAGAACTACTAAGCCACGTGGTTTGACGTTACAGTCGCCTGTCACATTTTATTTTCTTTGAAGACCCAGTTTTTGTTCTCACGCAAAATTACGTTTGATTTTTCCTCATTCTCCCGAGGAAATTCTCTGAAAATTTTCCCCCAAAAAATGGCGCAGCATCCTTTTAAAAAAATACAATAAGAGCGGAAATTTTTAAACGTCACAATTGAGATCTGTGGTATGATTGTTTTACCATCGCTGTGCTTTGAAATCGCAGGGCTATTTTCAGTTTCAAAGCCTCGCAAAGTTTAAATTTTTAGGATACACAAAGACAAAATTATAAGAAATGTAAACTCTGCCAGGTTGCGGCGCCAAAACTATAACTCTAAATTCAAACGATAATTTTTACTGAGGGACTGTCTAACGTTTAGGGTTAATTTCAGTCACAGCATCGTCTCGGTGAAATTCTCAGACCCTCAGGAAATTGGCCTATAAAGGCCCTTTTTTGAAAGGGCTCACCTCATTGAAAATTAATGCTGAAAAATGTTTATTCATTTGTGCCTATTACTACCGAGAAGTAAAAAGAATAGTCAGAAACAAAAACCAAAATGGGAAGTGATAGCATCGATTATTCAAATATTTCTCCCTTACGTTTTGACCTCACGTACCGCCGGACACATTTACTACTTTAGGAAATATTTTGACATTCCTTTATATTTTAAAGAGTGACAGTGACTTGGATCTAGGTTGAGAATTGCGGTCAAAGGGGCTGGAACCAAGGGTTTCGCACGCTGTTAAAGGGCGGAACGAAGGCTCGTTTTTTTACCGCAATTTACACGATTAGAAACGTGTTTTACGGCATATTTCCGATTTGCAACACCCGCCCCTTTGACAGATTTACACTGCCCTTGACAAATGGACTCCCTCCCACAATAAAGGCTACCGAACTCCACCCGATACTCTGGGTCGAGGACCAAGTTTCAGTCCCAAAATTATGATAAGCTGTTTTAGCATTAGAGACATTTCTCCTCGGCTTCATATTTTTTTGGCGAAAAAAATACTGCTGTATAAGCTAATATCTACTTCCACTTCATTATTTTTCAAAATTTGACATGGTTCCTTGTTGGTTTTATTCAGAACGGTTCAGGGCTACAAAAACGACAGATTCAAACCTTTTCGTAGCTTCTCCCTCAAATCATGGTTTCCGGATGCCCTACTTCAAACTGTCATTACTCCGGGTTGGTTTGGAAATTTTTGCAATTTTTTGATGCGAAAATATTTGCCAAACCTTTTTTGGTGCATGGTATCAATATTTAGATTGCCTACTTTTTTAGCACCAATGCCGTTTTCCGTGGACTATAACTTTTAGGATTCACGCCCAGTAACCACATGAAATATGCGTTGCACTGAAAATCGAAATAAAAAACTGAACGTAAGCACCTATATTTATAAATTTAATTATTAATATTTTTGATTTTAGGTTTGGTTTAGCAATCGTCGAGCCCGTTTACGCAAGCAAATATCAAGTAGCTCTACCAATAGTTATAACTCTGTGGGATTGTCAATGAGCTATCCAACCAACAGCGGGTCCACCCCAACTTATATGATGTCCCAACAAATGCCTGAACCAACTTACACACCAACTCCGCAAGGTAAGAAAGAGTGACCTTCACTTAGGAGAGTTTAACGCAGGGTAAGAAAAAACAACGAAAATTGAAAATCGAGTCGTTAGGATTTGAAACACAATATCGCTCGGTTCTGTAAATTATTGTTGAAAAGACGGATTCTCCACCTCGTAATTTTTTCCCATTTTTAGTTTCACTATGGGGTCCGCCCCGGGGTTGCTGCGCGGCCCAATTCCCGGAAGCGCTTCGCGCTTGCGGTAGACCTCCTCTTGCCTTATAAATTTTTTTTTAAAAAAAAAAAAAAATAGATTTAGAAATTGCATCCTGATACCCGTAAATCGAATTTTTACCATAGGTTATTAAGGTCGAAAAACGCGCATCTTTGGTGCGATGCGACGTTTAAAAGTTGCATTTGGTTGGACCAAAATAATAAGAATATTTCTTAAACATTTTCTGTGAAGATGCACAGAAAATTAGAGATGAGAAGAAATATTTTTAGATGAGTGAAGAAATTTCACTGAAAATTTTAGGAAATCCGTCGGGCTATTTTCTTTTAAAGAAATGAAAAATACACTGAAATTTGCAAAGACGCGATTAAGGGTGCACTTTTTCGACTTGACCATCTTTTATCCCCTTTCGGATCTCTTGTTGGTATACTAGCAAAAAATATTGCATTTACGTGTTCTCATTAACAGTAATATGTAGGAGCCTCGTGAAAACACGGTACATCAAGTCAATCTCAAAAAATGCGACCATTTCAACACGTAGGATCGATTTTGCCTACCCCATAAAATGAAGGAGAATCACGCTCCGACGACAACTTCTGACCGCAGTATTTGTCACTGAATGTTTCTTGTCTGAGTTTTTCCGAGATGAGCGAGAAAATTCAGACAAGTCACACCTCATAGATTGTGGGTTGAAACAGTAGAAGCTTTAGAGCATACTTAAATAACTCACGTGAAAAGATTGGCGTTCGTAAATTTTGCATAAAATTACTCTGATATCGGACCCAATGTCAGATTTTTTAATGGATTTTTCCTTTTCATTCCACTGAATTATATGTCCTGGTATACTTGTGCTAATTCAATTTTTTATTGATTTTCCATGCAGTATCCGAACACGGTGGTTTATATGCTCACCATGTCATGAGCTCAGAACCACATCTGGACCAAAGGCCTCCGAGCAGCCCTAGCCCTTACATTGGCCTCTCGGCCGCAGCTTATCCCAACAGTGCTTCTACCACCTTACTTTCTTCATCGGTGAGTTTTCCTTCTAATTTCTATTATTGAGGCATCCTGTGTCACAAAAACAGCGCCATCAGAGAATTAAAAAGGCAAATCAATTCGCACCACTATACTTACATTAAGTCTGTTAAGAAACAATTTTTTAGAAAATTAGTTTTTAAACGGACAGCTTCCATCTTAAGATCAGCCTTTCTTATAATAATGAGTACAAGTTCCAATTTTACCGTCACGGATATTGTTGTAGATCTTCTCGTTAAGCCGTCTGAGAGATTTCGTCACAGTTATATACTTGAGGTGGGACATTGTCCTGAGAGATGATAAGAGACGAAAGTTCTGAAAAAAAAAGTTTTTAAAAAAACGAGAAAATGACCGATTCGAACTTATTTTCGAGGTCGAGGTGGGGGTTAACCCTGCCTTTGACTACGCACTGATGAGATTCTCGCTTTTTTTGACGAAATATTTATGATGTTATTCAGATGAGCTCTGCGACGGCCGGTAGTCATATAGGAAACGTTTCGCCAGGACTTCTCACTACTGCCAGCCATGCGTATCCTCTAAGCCCGGGAGGCATGATCACCACACACCACCTTCCTCCCGTTTCGAGTAGCCTTGCTCTGGTCGCACAGCATCCAGGTATGTTATCGCGGATGTGGAAAAGGCATTTCAACTTCTGAAAGTCTTGCTAAGATCGCTCTTTGTGAAATGAAACATTTGACACAAAGCACCAAAGTGCACCGATAGCGTGTGAAGTACATAGGTGCAGCCAGAAAAAGTTTCCAATACTGGTCTGGCTTTCTATTTTTTCGAAGAGAGTCTATTCCTAGTAAAATGGGGGTATAAAGAACTCTCCAAGGAAAGTTTTGGAAAATTGACCTCTCGTAGAAGTATTTAATGGTTACGTTCACGAAAAATTGAAAAACGAAGCGAGGAAATTTGCCGGTGCGGAGGCCGCTCTGAATTAAACATTTTTCCTATAATATGCATGTTTCTATACATACATATTATAGCCGTAGTTGCAATGTTACTTCTTACAAAATTTTTTTATGACAACGTTTCATTACAATGCGGTATTTTTACCGGGACTGAAAACATTGTTACTGTGAAAATAACATTGTAACGCACTACACTTGAAGAAGCAGGTGGGACATGGGTGTAGAGGAGTCGACTATGATAATGAATTGTAGGAGCAACAATAATTTTTCCCACGTGAAGGCTGATGGATTTTCGATCGCTAACGCATGCATGTACTTACTTTCCCAATAATAAGGTCCTTTAAACTTTACTCCCCTCTTACCCTTACCCGATTCCTCGTGACAGTGGATGAACCGTGACGAGATTGAAAACCTTTGCCCATCCCCAAGATTATTACGTATTTTTGGGAAGCCCCTTGTACGCATACAGAAAAAAAAGAAAAAAAAAGAAAACAAACTTTTTATGAGGGATTCAAAGTTTAGGTCCTATGGATCTCTGAAGTTTTTGGATCGTGCAGCTAAAAACTCAATGTGCAACTGCCTAAATGCGATCACACATCTGATATGAGGTACTTTGGTTGACTTCATGGAAGTTTCAACCGAGGTACCACTGCCATGCTAAGGAAGAACGCCGTATGAACATTCGAGAGTTGCCAAAGTCTCCCGGATAAAACATGTATTTTTGACCAAATTTATGTATATTTTTCCTTAAAATTTTCAGACTTTTTAGATTAGATTGCGAACAAAATAGTCTGAAAAATTGGAAGAAAAATTGTACAATTTCCCCAATAAATTCGTATTTTATCGGAGGAAATTTTGGAGCGCCTGGAGGTTCATACGGCGTTTTTCCTCAGCACGGCAGTACAGATAAATCACCCGATTTTCGGCAGGTGGATATCAAGTTTTCGAGTGCACGGTCCGAAAACTTCAGAGATGACGATCAGAACTTCGTATTCCACGCATGAAGTTTTTTCATCCGTACACGCGTTTTTCTTCAGCACGGCAGTACAGATATGTCACCCGATTTTCGGCAAGTGAATCTCAAGTTTTCGAATGCGCGGTCCGAAAACTTCAGAGATGACGACCTGAACTTCGTGTCCGACGCATGAAATTCTTTCATCCGTGCATCATGCATCAAACACGCGTACGACTCAATTGTTTTTATCTGATTTCAGGAAATGGAGGCTCAGGGCCAGAACCACTGGTGGCCTCGTCAACAGACATGGTACCACTCACCAGCGCCAACCCCGGATGGGCTACAATACCATTGAACACGGTGCAAGGCCCCCCGAGGAGCAACAGTCCCCCATCGCTGAGCAATCTGAACCCGATCAGCCCCGCTCCTTCGGGGTACCACCACAACGCCACCATCGCTCAACCCAGAGCACACCCTCAATCTTTCTACTCATGGTCTTGGCCATAACCTTAAGTAAATACCTTGTCCAGGCCGCACATCAATTTCAAATGTTAAACACGATATTGAAACAGTGGAGTTTATTGCGAGTTGGCAACGCTGTTTTTCATCCATTTAAATGTGTTGGCAACGCTGTTTTTCATCCAATTAAATGTATAAGCAACAATCGATTCTTAGAGTATCGATATCAATATGGATTTAAGTGGGGGAAAAACACTGTTACTTGCCAACTATAATGACAACCACCGCAGGATTGAAATTAGGTTAGAATGACTCATGTCCGATGACAGTAAGTGCAGTGAGATAACGGATGACTCAAGTCAAAAAATGTGTATCCACGTGACATTCCAAGGCTCCTTTCAAGTTTTATTTTTTTAACGAGAAACCTACCAATGGTTTCTTTTGAGACCTCCTGTGACTTTCTTTCACCTATCTGACAATATTTGTAGACACTTTAGAAAGGAATATTTTTGTCATATTTTTGTGAAAAAATAAAACGTGCTTGGTAATTTTGAGATGTTGCTAACAATGGAGATGCACATTTCCCGACTTCAGCCATTGTAATGTACTCTATAAAAGTACGTACATTTTTACTGTTTTTAACTCTGTCGAAAGTTGTAATTCTTTTATGCTCATGCGAGATCTCAGTTGCTTAATTGGTTTTCTGTCTACCAATTATTTCATACTGAACTTTTCTTTCAATTTTCCCTTCTCGTTCACAACCAAACTAAATGCGACGTTTCAAGTATTAAGACATGAGTTACAACTACAGACTAATTTTACAGTAGGTTTCAGTAGATGAACAAAGACGTGTGATTCCCTCTAGCTTAAATTGCTACTTTTTTGTGTAAAAATATCCAGTGAAATGTTTGTGCACGAAGCGCAAGTTTGAAAAGCAATTGAGAGCATCGTCGGAAAAATTTTCTGAATTACAGCTCGATAACTTTATATGTTGAAGGTGCCTGAACGCCAAATAAATTTCAGAAAATGTAATGATTGTAAACCCAACATATTCTTACGTGAGGCGCCATCGTTAATACTCGTAATATCTTTATAGCTTTCGGCCTTTATTTGACTGAGAGTAGAGAAATCCCACCGCGTCATTTCAAGTTCCTTTAGTTTTCTTCGGCAAAATTGTATTTTTTAGGGACGAAAATCAAATGTAAGTATACGGTGTCTAATAGTTCACGATTATTATTTTCGATTAAGTTGTTAGGATAAGTCTTCCCTGAATCAAAGTGTACTTACAATTAACTTAATCTGAATTCCACATCCTAAACGAGAGAGTTTGAAAATTTGAGGCTGAAACGTAAACTTGAGACAAACTCTCCAACTGACAGGAATTCTCATTTTCAGTGCTATTGTTGTTACTTTCAACCATGATTGATTGTGTTTGTAAGAAGTGTAAGTGTATAAAATTCACCGTAGTTTTAAGTGTACAGTAAGTTTGTAAAACTCTTCAGATGTGTATCTAGGTAAAATGTATTTCGACAAAATTGCAATTATGTAAATATTACTCATAATAAATTTGAAATTCATTCTTTACATAGATCTTTGGTTTTTCAAAATCCACGCAGGATGACCCAGACGTTCCACTAGCTCAAAATTTTTCCAAAATTCTGTCGTTAGCTGAGAATGCTGCACTGAAACTGCTTGAGGCGGAAACGCAAAACATTTTTATTGAACTGATTTGAAAGTATTTTAAAAAACCATAAACGGTGATCCAGACCACCTGATGCAGACTCGATTGCTACAGCGGGCCGATTATTGAAACTGATAGACAAAGCGATAGACAAAGAAGACACAGGGAGTATAGAGCGATCCTATTGGTTGACATGGTTGGTTCTTATAGACTAAGGAAGAAAATGATGGACTAACTGTCGGGTCTTTGGTGGGTTGCCGTTAGTCAGTCCATTACCTACCTCCTATGTCCATTGCCACCACCCGCTTCCACTAATAGGATCCCTCCAAATCACTTTTGTCGTCTTTGTCTATAGCTTTGTCTATCAGTTTCAATAATCAGCCCGCAGGTCGGAAAAAGCGATAACGAATGGGAAATCAATCCCACAGGGAATCCGAATCCCATCTCGAAGCCCCCCCCCCCCCCCCCGAAAATTGGGAGGTGCTAGTCTTAATAGTTGAAGTTCCCGACAAAATACTGAAATAGTTCTATCAAAATCAGAAAGTTCGGGAACTTTGATTTGCACGAATGAGCCTAACTCGACACCAAAAAGCCCAAAATCGGTCCGACGACCAGGTTGTCTGAGAGGGTCAAATCACCAAAATTCTTTTATCCTAAATCATCATGGAACTCAAAATTTTATGGGATGACTTTGAGAAATTAGGTACCTAATAAAAATTTGAAATCTTGACTAGAGTTTTCACGGGATGGAGTTTTCGGTCGAAGAAAAAGAGCGCTGCGATGTAATAATCAAAAATAGCTCTCTTTATTTACAAACAGATTAGTCACATTGACAAAACATTCCAAAAATAAACAACTTTTACACAGTATGGAATTCAGTGAGTAGGTACGAGTAGTATAAGTTAAGCGTATGAAAACATACTGGAAAGAACATTGACATCCGAACGACAAAAAGAACATCTTCGACCGTCAAACATCAAATACAAATTGGTCCATCATCTGATGAGTCATAAAGTAGAGGTATTTCTACGGTGATCAACGGGTTGATTGCGCTGACTTTTTATCGGATAGTTTTCATCAATAAACATCATTGCTACGATAAGGAAATATCGGTTAAAGTAATTCGACTCAACAATCCAGGCTCAGGCTCATCCGAAAATGGACTTGCAAGGTTTTAACAGCTATACTCTTTCATGAATATTATGAAAAAGTGAAAGAATTTCCTCGATCCATCAAATTTCGGACAGCTGCATAGTGCCCATTTTTTACACACAAATTAACACGAACAGACGGCCTACCAAAGTATTTGTTCCCATGTAGCTATAAAAAATGAAATCATTCCATAGAAAACACACAAAAAAATAAGTAAGTAAATTAGTTGTTAAAAACTGAGCAAATTTAACACATTTTATCATAAATGACTTCAAAATAAACCCATTAGTTGCATTAATTCTGTAAATTTATAAGCAAAACCCAAGTGCCTAATTAAAAGCCCTAATTTCTACATGACAGTAAAGTTAGCTGCCATTCGATGAACTATGGGAGAGGGGAGCAGGGAGGACAATGCAGAAGCGATTTCAGAAATTTGTGACATTCTATGACCGTGAGAAGTACATATAGGTCAATTTTGAATGTTCAATCCCTCGCTATATTACGTCAGCCAATTACACGCGGATGAAAACGTTTATTAAGATAATTTGGATTTTCCTACCAATTTGTCGGGGAAATCTTTGAATGAGATGACCTCAACAAAAATCTCAAGTAACGCCCATTCTCATGGCACAGAAAAAACTGTCATGATACTAAGAAAATACAAACAGTATTTAGTGAGTAGGCAAATTGTTGAAGCAGCCAAAGAAAAAAAAGAAAGAGAAAAAAAACCCATAAATATCAGTTAACTTTAGGGCGACGTTTTTCATTAGCTTATCACAAAAACAGAGTACAACCTTTCAGGGGTCTTATCCTTGGGCCGAGATTTCAAAACGGATCTTGAAACAATCTTGAGAGTTTGAGTTCCTTTTGAGGGTGCAGTCCACTTTAGTAGGGTACGGAAATTATATATATAGGAATTACTCAACTTTAAAAAAGAAAAAAGAAAAGGGCTTTCAATAGATTAAAGTTGGTTGTGAGGCATTAACGACTCACAATGGTTAGATTTTCGATAATTACGAGGACGACACTACTATCGTTACTACCGACAATTTAAAGGAAATGAAAAGTCAAAGAAGTTTCAAAGATCGTCTTAAAATTTCACCAATGGTCGTTCCTTAAACCCTTTAAACTTGATTCAGTAGAGTATTCAAAAACTTCAGAATTGACGTAAAAACAACGCGTAAGGTCATTCACTGCCTCTCGCAGATTCTCAAAAGAGATCAGAATTAAGTATCTGGAGTAGGTACTAATTACTTTTTTCAGAGCGGAAAAGCATCTGATTTTCCAAACTCATACTATCGGAGCTCACATGTTTTTTGAACCATACGTCATGTTTTTCTCGGCAAGTGCGACTAAAACATTGTGTTTGTTCCGACCTCTTTTCATTCTCCGCTATTTTTTAGAAATCTAAATTCGACGTCGCCGAAGTTCATCCGATATTTTTTGTGTGGAATTTCAAATAATTTAACTCGCAATTTTTCCTGCACTATGCTGTTGATAAAAATTATATTCTCTCTTCTCAGATTCAAAAAATAAATCGAGTCAACCTTAACCTCTCATTTTCGAGTAAAATTTGACTATATTGGAATTCGCTTAACTCTAATCGACTATAAATTGCTTTAGTTGCCAGGAAAATGGACAGTCATAAGACTCGACTTATCTTCGATTTGAGAACATTATTTTCCTATTTTTTTTTTTTTTTTTTTTTTTTTTTTTTAAATTTCGAAGGAGAAGATTTAATTCTTTCCCCAAACTTTAGTACTTTATCGGTGGAAATTTGGTGATGTTCAAATGGACCGCGCTTAACAGAAAGGAGCCAAGCCACATCAGCTATTGCCAACTTTATTGGGCCATTTAATGTTTTACATGAAAATGGCTGAGCGGATTTTTGTGCTAATTCCATAGAATTTTCTACACAGTGCGAAGCAAATTCCTTAAAACGTTCAAAGGAATTCGCACAAGCGTTCTCCTCTAAAAAATAAAGTTGTCCAGTTAAATGTGGCGATTGCTGATGTGGCTCGGTTCCTCTCTGCGAAACGCGGTCCATTTTTAACCGTGGACCTGACAGTGGCGTGGCGTGAATTGCGATTTATCGATTGTTATGCCATTTAAACCTATGGAAAAGGATCGATAGACAGGGCGTTCGCAGCGAACACCTGAGTAATCGATTCTTTACCCAAGGTTTAAATAGCATAACAATCGATACATCGCAATTCACGCCACGCCACTGCGACCTGGAAATTTCGGAGAAAAATATTTATTTCTTTCCTCAAAATTAAGTACTATGTCGGTGGAAAGTTGGCAACGTTCGAATATTTGTTGGGTTTCTTTTTTGTTAGAACAGTAGCATTCTGCCGTGTTAGGGAAGAACGCCGTATGAGCCTTCAGGCGTTGCCAAGTTTCATTCGATAAAAACCGAATTTACTGGGAAAATTTTGAATATTTATTTCGAACATTTTCAGACAATTTTGAACTCAATTTACTCTAAAATATCTGAAAATGTCAAAGAAAAATGTGCATAAATTTCGTCAAAAATACATGTTTTATCAAAGGAAATTTGGCAACTCTCGAATGTTCATACGGCGTTCTTCCTTAGCACGGCAGCATTGACCCTCGACATGTTCGGTGACGATTTTTTTATCGACCCTCGAAAAAGATGTTTAAGAAACGACCCGGAACAAGACCCACAGGAACATGTTTCACGTGGTTTCCGAGGGCGTGAGAACTTTCTTCATAAACGTCTTATCGGCCCCCCTGTTGCCGAAGTTGCGCGAGGGTGGCGGCGGGGGCGGAACGGGCGGTTTTTTGAACTGGACGGTGATGACCGGCGCGGCCTCGACGCCGGAGGTAGGACTGGTGCATCTGCTTTGCTCGTCGTCCGAGGACCTTTGGAAAGTGCCGTAGATGGTGACCGGCTCGCACACGGCGTATCCTAGCTTCGTGTAAAATATCTCCTGCCCTTTCGTCGAGAGGTAGATCGTTGATTTCCCGCACCTGAAAAAGATTCCGTCCGGTCAGTCGGGGTTGAAATTTATAGACAAAGCTATAGACGAAGAGGACAGAGGGGATATTGAGAAATCCTATTGGTGGAAGCGTCAAGCGGGTGGTTTTAATGGACAAAGAAGGTAGATGATAGACGAACTATTGGCAACCCATGAGAGACCCTATACGATAGGACCTATAGTTAGTCCATAATTTTCTCCCTTAGTCTGTAAGAACCAACCATTTCAACCGATAGGATCGCTCCATACTCCCTATGTCTTCTTTCTCTATCGCTCTGTCTATTAGTTCCAATAATAAAATTGTAATCTTCCGTCGCGTTTCTAAGGTGCAATGATACAACTATTTGAACTCTCCGGAATGCGTGAGGTATCACTCCGCGTTTGAAGGCGTTTTCCAAACAGCCAAGTTTTGATACCCGGATAATCGTTTTGCATACACTTCATATTTTCTTGTTATATTCCGTACCACTTGTTTATTTTTAATCCTCGTATAAAAACCACCCATTTACTAAATACAATTCTAGCTGGAGCGCACTTCAGCTATGCATTCACGACTGCAAAAATGTCAAAGGAAATCCACAAGCCCAGCGTGTATGAAGGATATTTCAATTGTGATCTTCCGTCGCGTTTCTAAGGCGCATTGATACAACTATTTGAACTCTCCGGAATGCGTGAGGTATCACTCCGCGTTTGAAGGCGTTTTCCAAACAGCCAAGTTTTGATACCCGGATAATCGTTTTGCATACACTTCATATTTTCTTGTTATATTCCGTACCACTTGTTTATTTTTAATCCTCGTATAAAAACCACCCATTTGCTAAATACAATTCTAGCTGGAGCGCACTTCAGCTATGCATTCACGACTGCAAAATTGTCAAAGGAAATCGACAAGGCCAGCGTGTATGAAGGCTACTTCAAATGAGGACACCGCACCAAGAACAGCCTATAACTGGAAACCGCGTTTTGAGAAAAACGTATTTAAAGTTTTGTTTTTGATGTATTGCGCAGACTTTTTTATGCAGGTACCCTGTTTCGGTGTTTTAGGGTGACCCTTGTATTGAAAGATGCCGGGTAGATTTTGCGATATATTTTGGGATTGCACTCTGATACATTTAATTTAAAAAAACGGTTTATCGGCCATTATTACGCCCAACAGTCATTTTGCTGGCAAAATGAAGTATAAATCATTTAAATCACGCAGGATTGACGCAAAATGAAAGAATATATCGATAGTGAGTAGAGAAAGGGGTAACTAGCACCTTAGGCCCTTAAGTTTTGTAGGCCCGTTTATAGGTCGTTCTTGCACCCATCGATCCAAGGCCAGACTTAACTCGGAAAAAAAAAGGTTTTTCGACCTCGAGCTGTTACCTAACTATATTCTATCGCTACCACAGCATAGTCCAGGGTAAGTAAAAAGGGGTAACTAGCTTCTTAGGCCCTTAAGTTTATAGGCCCGTTTATAGGTCGTTCTTGCACCCATCGATCCAGAGGCCTGACTTAACTCGGAAAAAAAAAGGTTTTTCGACCTCGAGCCGTTACCTATCTATATTCTATCGCTACCACAGCATAGTCCAGGGTAAGTAGAATCCGAAAAGCAGATGGGCGTAATAACGACCCATACGCCTATAGGCTGTTCTTGGTGCGGTGTCCTCAATTAGTCTGCTGTGCTGTTAAAAATCTAGGAGTGAAATTCGGTGCTGGAGTCTATACAGTGCCCAAAATCTCCTAGTGATATGAAAGCGAGGTGAAATTAGCGCCATAAAAGCGTATCAGATTCCGCAAAGATTAGGTTCCGCTCCGTAATGGTGTAGGCCACCCCGTAAAGAGCATATAGATTCCACTCCGCATTCATATTACTCGGGGTTTTGGGCGCTATACATATTATAATCCGGCACAGAGTTTCACTCCAAAATGTTTAACAGTGTGTACATAGTCTGATGGAATCGAGTCTCATGAATTCTAACGTGAGTCCGAAGAAGATGCCTTAAACACCGGAGGATAGAGAAGTAGAGGCAGACAAAGAAAAAGAGGGCAAAAAAAGAAAGGAGGAGGAAAAATAGGAAAATAAGAGGAGAAAGTGAAAGAAGGAGAATAAGAGGAGGAAGAAGAAAAAGGGATGAATAAAAAGGACAAGACTGGGAGAGCTGATGATGAGACAAAAAAGAGCGAGAAAAAGAAACAGAGCAAGAAGAAGAGAAATATTAATTAGAAGCAGACAAATGATGGGAATGGAGAAGAGGGGACAGAATAAAACTAGAAATACGAATTCATTTTTCTTCATCTCTTTCCTCTTTTTTCTTATTCTTCTTCTAAAGTACATTTCTTATTCATCTTCTACTTTTCCTTCCGATTAAAATATAAATCTATAACTAAAGTCGGAAAGTGAGAACTTACTGCCGACTGCGCAGTTGCAAACCTCGGATTATTTTTTAAATCTTCTCAATAGAAGAGCAAAACATCGAATTTTCCTGACATTTAACGAGAATTTTGCCGCTCATTTTGAGATGTTCGCAAAAGAAAAACAAAAAAAAAACAACAAAAAAACAACAAAAAACCAGTATTTTGGAGGAGATATTTTGTCCATTTTTTTTCAAAAAATAAAAATAAAACGGAACCGAAGATTGAAGAACATTGTACTATCAATGTATGCATTTAAATATAAATTGTAATTGTAAATAACTTAAAATTATTAAAAAAATGCATTTATCGACTTTAGCCATTTATATTTATTTAAAAATGTAACTGACCAGAAAAAAAAAAAAAAAAAAAAAATGGGCACACTTTTTCGGGAAAAAGTTAAACGATCGGAAAGATTGGAAAATACATTAAAGCCGCGGCAGATGAGATGATCCGGGGATGAGAAGAGTGAAACAAGCTCCAAGTGTAAGTACAAGGCCCAAAAACAATTTGTCAAGCGGGGATAGCAGAGTATGAGAGGTGTGAAGTGATTGAAATGTTGAAAGCCCCCGCGATCAAGGGATCATCCGCGGAATTCGGATCCGCGCGCACGGGCGGGATGCCGCGCGCCGCGCGTCCAGATGCGCTTTCATCTCGCGGAGCGCGAGTCAAGAGTGCAACTGTCACAACCGCGAAATATCCCGGGTCGGATCGCCCGCGGTTCTTGGCTGCGCGTCCACCGACTCAACCTGAGCCACGGAATTAAAAGATCGTGGGCCCCGGATTCCAGCTTCGCACTGAAAAAAACTTCTCGGCGTTTCTACTAAGGTCCGTTGGTACCTTTACCATCTCACTTTTTTTTACCAATTATTGGTTATTTTACCAAGACAGACTAGTAAGCTTACCTAAAAACCGGTATTTTTACTGTTTTTTCAGGCAAGAATACCACTTTTTTTGGTAATCAATTCCTGGTAACTTTGCCATTTTATCTCAGTAATTCTACCACCGTCGATAAAAAATAGATCACGACAAGTTGCGATTTGATCGGAAAATGTCTCGCAATTTTATAGACGTCGATTGGTTGCAATATTTTCGGATAAGAATCGCGATAAATTGCGATTTTATTGTGTACATTTGCGCTAAAATCGCGATTTTACGCAATATTATCGAACGAAAAATCGTGATAAATTGAGATAAAATTCCGATCTTATCGAACAGAAATCGTGATAAATTGAGATAAAATTCGGTTTTTATCGAAAAAAAAAAATTAGTGATAAATTGAGATAAAACTCCGATTTTATCGAACAGAAATCGTGATAAATTGAGATAAAATTCCGATTTTATCGAACGCAATTTTATAGAGGAAAAATGCGACAAAATCGAGGATAGTCGCTCAGTTGTTGACGATCCTAGCGATATTATCGCCAACAAATCGTAAAAAAAATGGCAACCAAGTTTCAAAATATCGCGATTTTTCCATTGAAAAATGCTACTTGGGATGAGGATTAGCTAAAAAATAGAATACCAGTCAACTATTTGCACGAGACCCCAAGTGGCAATAAATTGCTTTCTCAGTGACATTATTGCTTCTGTACCGAAGTGGTGTATACTGACGGTGAAACTACCAGTCTACGTATTTCATTTGCGGTGTTTAGAAGTCTCGTCTCTTATTTACTTAATTGTTTTGAAGAAGAACAAATCGATATTATTTTTTGAAGTTTTCACAGACTTTTCTTTGAACAGAGAGAAAAAAATATGGAAGTTTTCAAGAATTGTTGTTGAGTATTTTTCTAGTTAGAAAATAAAGTAGGACAGGAAGTCTGCAACTCCTCGCGATATCTAGCGGAGTCACTACGTGTGTGACAGTGAGTGTGATGAAAACTATTGCGCCTTCAATCTATCGAATATGCAACACGGCCATTCATCGAGTGCGAATAGTTGTATCCAAGCGCCGTGTAAGAGTCGCGTCGAGGCTCGAGGGCCGAGGCGTTAAACTCGTTAAAGCAATTTTTCAGGTCAATTCTGGAACTTAGGAATTAGGTTACGTTCCTTCGTCATAGAAAAGACACGTGGCCAGACAGTCTTGTCTGGTCTCTATCCGACTTTTCCTCCGTGCATCTCCTAAAAACCTGTGTTTCCTTGGGAAGTGTTTTACGCCGTAACTTGTTCGACCTTTCTTCTCGATCGAAAATTTTGCAGATATCTCAAGCCGGAAACCTGACATTACTCAATGAGAATTTTTTCCCCCATTTGTTTTTAATGAAACCAATTTTTTTTATAATTAAAAAAAAATTGAGGTAGCGGAATACTTTTTATTTGCTTTTATTTTTTGAGTGAAAATTATACATGTTTTCACATTCTTCCTCTTGTATATTCGCCAATCTCTTTTTAAAGTATCGTCAAAGAATTTTCAGACTTTATTTTCTATACAATCTGGTCAATACTTTAAAAAAAACCCTCATATTGAGTTTTAAGCTACTTGCATGGAGTTTTTACATACTTTTTAAGAGCCCATTAGTGGTAGATTTTCCGACGAGTGCGTAGCAAAATAATGATTTATTGAGTAAAAAAAGCTGAAACATTAAACTTACGTCATTACGTAGCTTTCAGTTTTCATCATTAGTAATTTCCCCAGTCCTTTGCCGCGGCATCTTTTATCTATCACAACTGAAACACACGAGCAAAGAGTTTAAAAAAAGAGAAGGAAAAGATTTTTTGGTTTTAATTTTTCAAGATATGATTTTTAGTAAAATTTGAAATCTGCAGCTCTCGTCTTCACCTCGATCTACTACTTTGAAAAGCTCTAAAACATAAGGTGCAGAAAGTGTCATTCATAGTTTACACGTTAAATGGAGGTGACCGCTGATTTATCACTAAAGCGCTGTTATCAATTATACCTAAATAGTACCTGCCTATAAAACGATCACGGATAAGTTCCAAGAAAAATACGTTTCCAATGCTTGTCAAATATACTCTATGACTCTGCCTATAGTGAGAAAGTCGGCTAGAAAGATTACTTTTTGAACAGAAGTGACGGACCTTGACCACAGCCCGTAGTGAATATGAACATTTTTCGACAACAATTATTAGACGTCAGATCCAAAAGGGAAAGATGCGAGGCAACATTCATAATTTTCACGACTGACGATTGAATGGGAAAATTACGTTTTGAAAGCTGAATATGAGCAAACTTACCCTGGTAAAAATTGGCGATAGGAGCTGCGTTTCAAAATACCATAGGAATTCTTATAGCCGGCTAAAGAAGGCAACAGAAAATCATATAGCTGGCTGTAGAAAGCGGAGCAAATCATATAGCCGGGCTATACGAAGCGATAAAAAAGTATGCAGCCGGGCTATAGCTCCTATCGCGGGGCTTTACACTTTATCGCCATCGGCTATAATTCGTATGCTTTGGAAATCATTAAGTTTGATACGGAACCACCATAATATTCACAAAACGCATACATTATATTTTCCTTTAATACATATTTTTTTTCATCAATTAAAATGAGAATAATTCATACAGGATGTGCAAACATTTCAAAATCATGAGTTGCAAAACGCTGACTCCGCAAGATTATATTGGAGCCTAACACAGAGCGGAGCGGCGTGCTGCCAGCGATAAGCGCGCGCCAGCGCCTACAAACCTAACAGGGATACTTCACGCATGGCGCAATGCGTGAAGTATCCNTTAATATATTTTTAAAATATTTTTCATGTATTTTTAAAATATTTTCAAAAGTACTTTTGAAATGCAATCAATGAATATTTTTAAAACATTTTAAAAATATATTAAAAATATAAAAAATTAAAATTTTTAAAATAATATTTTATAATGTTTTTAAAGTATATCATAATTATTTTTGTTAATATTTTAAAAATATTATTAAATATTATTTTAAAAATTTTGATTTTTTTTAAAATATTTAAATTAATATTATAAAAATTTAAAAGAAAAAAGGAAATGATAATAATAATAAATAAATAACATAAATACATCGACATAAATTCAAACTAGAAAAAGGCCCAAATAATTAAAACTGGAAAAAGACGCAATTATAAAGTTAAAAAATAGAGAGAGAGAGAGTTAAAAAAATGAGAGTTAAAAAAATAGAGAGAGTTAGAAAAAATGATAGTTAAAAATCATGATAGTTAAAAAAAAGAGAGAGCTAAAAAAATGAGAGAGAGTTAAAAAAAATGAAAATGAAAAAATTACATCATGAAATAAAAAACAATAAATAGATAAATAATAAATAATAAAGTCTAGTAAAATATCATAAGAATCCGTCAATAAACAAACATATTACGGACTCAGAGGCCTGCGATAGTTAAGAGATTGAATTTAGGGGCCCATCCGTATCAAGCCTGGCTGGTCTGGTGGTAAAGTACTGGACTTCGGATTGCAACTCCATCCCGAGGCGTGGGTTCTAATCCCGACTAGGACGCCGCGGATTTTAAGGTAAGTCACAACTCTACGATGATCCACCACCTGGTAGTAACGCATATGAAAACTTGCACACTCCATAACTAGAGTGCGCTACCAGCCAGGAAGAATAATGAAAATTCATTTTATACACTCTTTGAATTTGGTTATATAACTTTTATACTAAGGGTTACATAATAATGTAAACTTTTAACTAAAAAACTTTACATCCATTACAACTACACGTTTTTATATAACTATTACAATGACTGTTACGTAATCATTATATTCATATTTATATAAAAACATAAGTAAAAATGGGTAATTTTATGTAACCAAATTTAATTTCGTTACATAAATTTATATAAACGTATTTAACTTTTATACTAACATTATATAAACGGTACATAATTTTTATACTTTTTTTAAAAAAAAAATTATATAAACCTGCTACTAGGGACGGCGTTCTTCCTTAGTGCGGCAGTACACGTGTATGCAACTATTCGTACCTAGGAGATATCTTTGTAGTATAAATGAAGAATTAAAAGCGCTCTGCCATCCTAGATCCCCGCAACAAAGCTCGCCGTTGGCGCCGCGGTGAAGTGGTGAGTGAGTGCCTAGACAGTCAAAACGCCTTCAGGCCCCTACGTATGCAACACGGACATCCGTAGGGCCCGAATAGTTGCGTCCGCCAGAGGTTAAAATGAAATTTGTATAATGTTCGTCGCATTCGACAAAAACGAAGGGCGCTTTGCTTGTTTCTTTTACACCCTAACTTAACTCCAGCGTTGTGTGCTGTCCCTACAGCTACGGCGTGAACTGTAGCTGATATTCATCGCGACATTGTCAATTTTCCGAATAATGATTGATTATTTAAATATATAACAACGTTGCCGTCTTAAAATGTAGGCCGCGGCCTCTATATACCTTCTCTGATCTAAGAACGGCGAATAAAGTAAAGTCATTTCCTGGTCACTTCAGGAAAAATTCGAGATTGCATCACGACATAGTATTTTTTTTCGCTGAGAACTTAAAACGTACGGTCAAAAATGTAAATCAACGTAGCTTAATCGGAAGCTCGGTGCTGCAGAACTCAAAGCCCGTACAAACTATGAACGTATTTATACCAGAAGGAACTCACACAAACTCTATGCACATGTTCCTTTTAGCATAAACACGTTCGTGTATCTATCGTTATTGATTGCTTCAGAATCATCGAACCTAACCACCTCTTGACCGAGTTCATAAAAAAAAACGAATCAACGGTGATGAATTTAAAGGGAGTCGGCCGTTTTTGCATAAAATCCTAGGTAAGTCGTTGACGAAAATCAAGCGAATGTTTTTTCTCAAGTTTAGTTTATGTAAGTATTTGTGTTTCCGAACAATTTTCACAAACATATTCACTAAAATTTTGCGCTGCCAAGCCCGAGGAATCTCTGTTTGGAAAAAAGGATCGGTCGAAAATGTGAACCACCTTTTGAAGTCACAAGTGAATTTCACAAGGTCTTAAAAATATAGGGAGGCAATCCGAGAAATTTTTACGATTTCGACGCAATGCAACAAAGAGAAAACTGGAATGCAGCGCCTATCCATAAACGAAACCTTCTTTATCACACTTTAGAATATAAAATCATAAGGGTAACGCGTAACGCATAACGCCCGAGGCGCGAAGCGCTTCGGAGGGGCGGTGCGTGAAGCGGTTAGGGGGTGTACCCCTGGGTGTTTTTTTTTTTTTTTTTAAAGAAATCGAGAAACTTCAAAGCCTAGAATTTGGTAAATGCTCAATTGTATTGCTTAAGTGTTAACAACGTGCAACTGGTGAGCAAGGCAGCGAGATCGACACTGCTTTACTTTCATATATCATATATCATACGGTAACGTTTAGTGCGCAATTTGACTCGCATGGTCTTTCTTTTTCTCATGAGTGTGAGGTTTGAATTTACGCTTCGAAAGACGTCAAATAGGTATCTTAGTTCGTGATCTACGTGAAATTTTGTTAAAAACACGCGTACCTACCGAAATGTTGAAATCCTCACTTTGTGTAATGGTCCAGTCATGGGCGGAACTATGAAATTTTCTTGGA